ACACTACACTACACACACACACACACACACACACACACACACACACACACACACACACACACACACACACACACACACACACACACACACACACACACACACACACACACACACACACACACACACACACACACACACACACACACACCGACACACAGCAGTCCGATCAAATAAAATCAGAGAGAGGATGGGGAAGTTTGTAATTTACTTACGCGCCAGCCAAACCCAACACGAGTACAAACACGTACTATATAGTCTGTCTAACATACCCCCTGTTCGCAAGGTCGGATGTAGCATATGTGTTATAAAGGGGTTCTAAATTTGGAAAACACATAATTAATAAAATACATGCATTTAAGTTAATCTCAATCTAATACATTTGTAATCGATTTACTGACAGATACTCATTATTGTATCAGGTTTACGCGTAGAATAAAATTAATATGTTAGAATTAACTATTCGAATTTAAGTAATTTAACTATGAGATAGTTCATGATATTACGGGGCCCCTAAAAGCGCGAGCCCCTAAAATCGCGAGCCCCTAAAACCGCGGGCCCCGTAACAAATGCTACTTTTGCTGCTATAGTTCTGTTCGCATATCACAAGCCGCAATGGCTCGGCTACTTCTAACGCCCGAAATGTCTCCGTCGTTACACTCGGTCCTATAACATGCGCTCCCACTATAGAGTGTTGCTATAGGTGGGGTATAGTATAGGGTGTTGCTATAGGTGGGGTATACTATAGGTGGGGTATACTATAGGTGGGGTATACTATAGAGTGTTGCTATAGGTGGGGTATACTATAGGTGGCTATAGGTGGGGTATACTATAGAGTGTTGCTATAGGTGGGGTATACTATAGGGTGTTGCTATAGGATGTTGCTATAGGTGGGGTATACTATAGGGTGTTGCTATATGTGGGATATACTATAGGGTGTTGCTATAGGTGGGGTATACTATAGGTGGGGTATACTATAGAGTGTTGCTATAGGTGGGGTATACTATAGGATGTTGCTATAGGTGGGGTATACTATAGGGTGTTGCTATAGGTGGAGTATACTATAGGGTGTTGCTATAGGGTGTTGCTATAGGTGGGGTATACTATAGGGTGTTGCTATAGGTGGGGTATACTATAGGGTGTTGCTATAGGTGGAGTATACTATAGGGTGTTGCTATAGGTGGGGTATACTATAGGGTGTTGCTATAGGTGGAGTATACTATAGGGTGTTGCTATAGGTGGGGTATACTATAGGGTGTTGCTATAGG